GAGGGGGAGAAAATAATGACCATATGTCTAATCAAACATACTTCTCTTTTTTTAACAAAAAACTTTTTAAAAAACAGGATCTTGTTAGGCAGGATCCTCCTGCCTCCCAAATACTAACTAAAATTTAAGAATTATTTATTCAATTTTATTTATCCCTTTTTTAAAAATTTGCTACAGGCACACATACTCACCAGATAAAGACAGAGAGAGAAACTTACCAGGTCCAGGACTCAAATCATGGTCAGTCCTGTGGGAGTTCAACACCCTAGCCACTATGCTACATCCTGACCCTGTAACTAAACAATTTTAATGAGAAAAAAGAGACCTCCCCCAAAGAAAAGTAGGCAAAGACACTTAGACACTTTAGCTAGATTTCCAAATGTTCAATAAATGTGTAAAACATGTTTAACATCTTTAGTAAGTGGGAAAATACCAAAATCAAATAAATAAAACTAAACAGTATAAATAAACATTTGGAACTGAACTCTAATGGAAAAAAAAGGTTGAATGTCTAGTTATCTATACTTTAGGAAACTGATTGAGTAAGCTCCCAGACACACGTACAACCAGCACAAACTCAAAGAAATATAAAACATCTTACTGGTGAGCATGCTCCCTATAGCAAAAACCTCTCAAAAAAAAAAACCAAAAAAACAAAAAAAACCCAAAAACTAAATATTATAAAGCTACAAAACAGCCATCAATGACAAAGATCAAGAGACCATGGGAACCAGCAGTTAGCATAATGGCTATGTCGCTGGACTCCCATGTAGTCGACCACGGTTTATGTCCTGGACCCAGTGGCTTAGAACTCACGCCGGGCGCGTGTGCGTGCATGCCCAAGATCCCGGGAGAACGGAGGAGAAGGGATTGCGGCGTGACCATCCCCCCTGGGCGGTGATTTCCTGCTTTCTGTCTCTGTCTCTCTCTGTCTGGCAAACGCATGCGCCCTATAGCAAAAATCTCTCCAAAAAAAATAAAAAGGAGAAAAAAAAAGAGACAATATAATGAAAATCCATAAATTAAATCATATTGAAATGGAAATTATTAGGCCACCCCATGACATGAGGGTTAATGCAGCTGGATCTCACATGGCCAAACATGGTTCAAGTCACAGACCCAATACCTTAAAAAGCAGGCCAGGCACTCATTCAGATGTGCTCAAAATCCTGAGGTGAGAATGAAGAAACTGAGGCATGGCCATATTTCTGGTTTGAGATTGCTACTTTCTTTCTTCCTTCCTTCTTCCGTCTTTCTTCCTTTCTCTTTCTCTAGCAAGCACATATGCCCCATAGCAAAAATTGATAGAAAAAAAATCATAATGCATGTCCAGCTTGGAGTCAATAACAAATGTAACTTCAGTCTTGGAAGGCATATGATTAACCATGATTTTGGATCCTCAGGTCAGAATAAAACCAAGCCTGTGAGTAAGTGCACATGCCTAATATCCTGATGAGTTAGAGAGCTGGGGAAGCATGATAATGAATCCCTGTATGTGCTTCTCGCTTTCTCTCAATCTTGAGTGGACATGCATGCTCTATCATGAATAAAATAAACCAAAAAAAGAAAATGTGATAGGAATCTAAGTCTGGAAAATTTTTGCCCACTAGTGCTTACATTCTTTCCTTATTGCTTTTATCATAGGGCACATATGCTCACTGGAGACAAACAGAGAGAAGGAAAGGGAGAAATGGTGAATAGCCACACCACAATCCCTTCTCTTCTAGTCTCCGTTTAGGATTTTGGATAAGTGCCCAGTGTGATTTTCATTAGCCCATGTGGGAATCCAGTGCCTTAACCACCACACCACCTGCTCACAACAGTGCTTCACTTCTTAGCAGAGTCATTATTGAAAAATCCTGAAGCTAAATTGGTGGCTACATGGGCCTCACCAAGAGTCAGCACACACCACTAGACAGAAGAGTGAAGTCATCTGAAACAAATCAGACTCTTGAGGCACCACATGGCTAAAGCCTCACTTGCCATCCAGTCAACCAGAATAGAAACTACCCAGCTGATCTCACCCCAAAATGTAGATCCAAGGAACCTTGAGCAAATAAATTGGCTAATTTTTAGAATACTTAGTTTGTTCCTTACACAGAAAATGCTAAACAATACATTTAAGCCCCAGCAATGTTTTTAACAATATTATGTGAGGCAGAAAGTCTTAAATACATGTCAGATACAATCAATAGAACTTCACAGTCATGTGTAAAACCTTTAAAAAACCTACAGAGCAATTTTGTGTACATTAGTAGATGAACTCTTAAGATTTTTACATCCTGTAAGTCTCTGTACTTAAAAAAAAAAAAGGGTGGGGGGAGGCAACAGATGGTCTAGCAGTTATGTCACTGGACTATTACATGGCTTACCACAGTTTGAGTACCGGGCATAGTGTCTTAAAAGTGACACTGTGTACATGTGCATGCAAGCCTAAGATCTCAGAAGGACAAAGGAGGAGAAGGGACTGTGGTATAACCATCCCCCCATAGGGAGAGATTTCTTACTTTTGCTCTCACTGTCTTGGTATCTCTCTGACATGCATATGTGTACTAAGGGAAGAACTCCTACACACACACACACACAAATTTTAATTAATAAACAAAACAAGGATTTGTTTCTCATACCAGAGTACATTTATTTACATTTTTAAAATTGGTTTAAACTAAAAGTGTCATATAGTCTAATTTTTCTATTTTACATAATGTAAAATAGGCTCTTATGGGTCAGTGGGAAGCACTGTGGTTAAGGTAGTAGGGCCCACACATGACTGAGTATGTGGTTCAAGTCCCAGATACAGTGGCATGAAAACCATGCCAGGTACATGAGTAAGTGAGTGAATGTGTGTGTACACCCAAAATTATAGGAGAGAGGAAAAGAAAGGATTACAGAATTGGCCATACCCCATAGTAGAGGGGAGGTGGAGGAAATTCTTTCTAGTGAGTGTGTGTGTCCTACAGCAAAAATACCTTTAAAAAACAGAAGAAATAAAAAAAACTCTTATAAATTTTCTGCAGAATTTATCATCTTAATAAGACATTGTTGCTATTAAGTGGAAAACTCTTTGAAACCACATAAGTCACAAAATTTGTTGAGGGATACGAATGGTATTGCAAGTCATGTTTGTGTTAACCTCAATGTCACACAAAAAAATTTCAAAGTAAAAAAAAAAAAAAAAACGGTCAAAAGGTTCATTTAATTGAAATCTCATAAAAAAACAGATAACACTAGCCGAACATCAGAATGTCTAGTAACTACAAATAACCACACTCTGGGAAAGACACATCTCAAATCTAATTTATTTCTATTTTTCTTATAAGGCAAAAATACTTTGGCAAACCCTTCCTGAACTACTAGGAAAACCTACCAAGATAGGGGTGCATCCACTTTTCTCTACTTGCCAAATTTGGTGACAGATCAGGTTTAAGTGAACTCAGACACAGGAAATGATAACTACAGATTGAAAGAATGGAGTCTGTTTACAGAGCACTGTAGACAGACAATCTCAGAATGACAGGTTATAACTTCACGCCAGGCCACACTCTAAGCTTTCTCCTATAAGTAACATTGTTAGGGCATTGCCTACTCACCTCAGTCAAACTCTCTATCCCTTCTGAAAGTTAGTCCAAACCTCTGAGCAACACCCAGTACTTCAGGAGAAGGTAGGATTATTCAAATTTTGTCCACTCTAGAAAGAAAGATTAACAATTACTTTAGGTAAACAATTTTTTTTTTCCTTTCCCAGGCTCTTCTGCCACTGCTCTGAAGTACTAATATAGTATCCAGGCCATAGGGGTGTTCTTTCAGGTGAGATTCCTATCTGTACAGTATAATTTTCTGACTTCATAATACTTTATTCCAAATAAAATAATGCTACCATTCACCAGTACTCCAAACTGCCTAACAGAAATCACTGTCACTGGATTCTGAATTTGAACTTGTATAAAATTCTTTTTTTTTCCCCTTAGGTTTTTGCCATAGGGTGAGTGTGCTTGATGGGGAGTGACAGAAAGGGGGAGGGGGATGAGAAATC